TAAAAAAGATAAGGAAACCATTGACTGGCATAAGATACTTTGCAAATCACACTCTCATCACAGGGTTAATATCCAAAATAGGTAACACACACACAAGTTCACAGTAACAAAAATAATTTTATTTAAAAATGAGGTCACAGAAGTCACACAAATAGACAATGGGAACAAAAAGTGCTCATTATCTCTTATTAGGGAAATGTTAAGTAAGTAACAATGAGAATGCTACTATCAAAATGACAAGAAATGGCAAGCTTGGAGATGATTAGAGAAAAGGAAACCCTCATGCACTGTTAGTGAGATTGGTGTAATAACTATGGAGAGAATACAAGGATTTCTCAAAAGCTAGAAATACATAAATTCTATGTATGTATGTTGCAGTCACACCACTGTCTGGTATTTATACAACAGAATATGAAAAGATTTATTTGAAATGCACCCTCAAGCTTATCACAGCGTTAGTCAGTCAAAGTAACCGGGGGTTGGAAATAGCTCATGAGTCCATTAACAGGAAAGAAGATAAAGATATGCTACCAAAGAATGCTACTCAGTTAAAAAAGAAAGAAATTCTAATATTTATAGGATATTGGTGAAACTAAAGGGTATTATGCACAGAGAAATAAGTCAGATGGAGAGAAAGACATTACTACATAAGCTCACTCAGAGCTGCATTGTCATTTACATACTGACTTTTACAAAATTTAAGAGCTTTATTAGATCATTATCGTGGGGTATATTTTCACCATGGTTTATAAATGTGTCTCTAGAACTTTTAATATAAGGTTAGTTGTGAAATAGAATTTACTTCATGAGGGAAGCTATTTTAGGACTCAAATTCTGTGTGTGTGTTTTGATATACCCCCAAAGAGTACTATCATCTTCCTTCAAAAGACTGGTCATAAAATATCAAATTGTAATTTAAAAATTTCATAAAATCACTGAGAGCACATACATGGAAATATATCACATCTATACATAGTCTTTATGTTTTCCTCTTGTATACAGTTCATTTTGTTCCAATAAATACCATCCACAAAGTGGTAATAAAAAATGGCACCACTCATAAGCAAAAAAATAATTAAGACGGTTCTGATCTTTTTCTCACAAACACACCCAACACAGATATCTATTTGTCCAAGTGTAAGACTAAATGTTTAATATCATGGAAATTTACAGGTCATAGTTATGTCTCTCTACAAAAACAATAACCTTTATATATCTATACTGGTCCTTACATTAGCTGACCATGTAAATTTTATTTTAGTTCAGTGAGTACTCATAAGCACGAAGACCAGTTTATTTTTTTATTATACCATACTCCTCCATAGAGATGGTACTATTTTGCATTCCCAATACTGTGTGAGTGCCTGTTTCTTCTCAATCTTGCTAATCTAAATTTTTGCTAACCTGCTTTGGCATTGTTTCTCAGTTTGCATCTATTATCAAGATGTTCAATTTTATTCATAATGAAACAGAACAAATGTCCTCTAAATAGAAGAGACAGAGTAGGAACTTTGTTATTTTGTTACATGTTCTTGGGCTGTGGTAAGTTCTAATCCATGGTAGACACTTAAAAGACACTTGAAATGTTCAAAGCAATAATCCATTAACAAAATAATCAGCTATTCCACAAGGCTAATTTTTTATCAGAATTAACAGTTTACCTCTAATTTTCAAAAATAACAATTTTAAGTGATGTACACAATGAAATATTTGGGGCAGATGTACTGTATCACCAATATGAACTAATGGATGAAGGGACAAAGATGATTATGGGTAATATAATCATAGAAAAATAGAAACTGGGGTTTTGTTAGTGGGTCTAAATTTCTTTCATTGTTTTGTAAATTTGAAAATTTTCATACAGTGCTTGGAAAAAAACTTGTCAAGGCTTGTATTTATAAAGAAAACCATTAACTTCAATTTCACTGTTTTGAAATCCCCAATGACACCAATAACATATTAAGATTAGAATGATTAATCTCTAAGCTGTAATTTCTCTATAGAGTAAGTTCGAATGTTTACAATAATTCATCATTTCATTTTCAATGGTGATATATATTACTGCTTCAATAATATCCTTTATATAAAATGACTCCCCCAGTGGTGTCTACATACTTATTCTCTGACTCTCCTTTGTTATCCTAAAGTACTTAAAGGATGTCATAAATAAGCAGCTTTCTTTATTAATCTGCCTTATTCTATTAAGACTGCTAGGTATAGTCCACCACTTTGTTTTATAAACTAACCAGCCAGAAGTATATTAAGAATACTATAGTAATTAAATGGTGAATGAACAAACAAATGAGAACACACTTATGTTTCCTTTGTACCAGCCATAAAGTTGTTTCATCTTTCAACATAGAAAATGGTTTGTATTTATGGCTAATGGTTTTGCTAAAATGTTTGGTTTTATAATAGTTATTATGTCTTTCAGTTAGGACTCCTCTTACCTGTCTAGTTCAGTGCTCTGGCTCCTTTACATGGCAATCCCCATGGGCTACAGTGGCTAAAAGACCATGTTGCTATACTACACTTTGAAATCTGATTTTTTTTTTTAATCACACATTATGAACTTCTGACTCAAATCTAGTGTGAACAGTTCTTGCTCTATTATTAAAATACACATTTTAACTCCTAATGCAGAATTTATCTCCCAAAAACATGGGACAAAAAATAACGAATACTTCATTTTCTACCACATTAAATAAATGCAGTGTTCACACAATTACAATTCAGACACCAGCATCTGAATTGGTGTCTGAAACCAGCATTACATTGTATTACAGTATTACATTGTCATCACCTGCTCTCCCAATTATCACCGTGGTTGCAATAAACTGGAGTTAGTGATTGAGAGGTAAATGATGATCTTAAAGATATACAGATCAATATAGGTATCAGTTGTCAGGCTAATAAAGACGAATTTCTTAGGTGAGATGAATACATAGTCAGGAGTATATACATAAGGTTTTTCAGTGACCACTTCCAACCCCCTCCCCAACTCAATCACTTCCAGATTCTACTCTATGTCTACACAGCATAATAAAATATCCTGATGGGTAATAATTATCTTATTTATTTGTTTACAGCTGTGTCCTTCCAATAAGCAAGCATTAATCCTGAAACAGAATGATCCCTTCCCTCTCTTCCATCATTCCTCTAATACAGTCAACCAGGACACTTGAAAATTAGTGCTTGGGGTCACTAACTGTAACTAGAACACAAGCTAGTGTGATAAGGTAGGGAAGTATTTGGGTATGAGAACTCAATGTATTGTTTCCTTAATACCAATCTGACTCATTGTGTAACATCACTTATAGTTCTTAAACTTAATTTCTTACCTCTATGAAAATATCCCTTTTTAAAATTTTCCCCTTTTTCTTCCTACTAACAACGTTATCCCCAAAACCTTTTCATTAAACACTGTATTCATCTAAGAACCAAAAAAGGTTTCTGTGTGGGCACACAGACTGCTCTTGGAAGGCCAAGCACCTGCATAGCCAAGCTACAGCAGATTAGTGCTCACAACTAGCAACCACAAATAGATTTTAGCCATGTTCACTCTCCTTGTTTTCTCATGCAGTAAAGTTTAATTCCTTTGTTCTCAAACCCTAGTCCTAAAACACAGACATTTTGCCCCAGCAACTGATGAGTCTCTCTGATGCCAGGGAGGTTTCCCCAAAGTTCTCGTTACTTGCTTCTTAGTTCCAATAAACCTCACTTTTCTGCCTAACTTCAAGGGTGGCTGAGTATCTTTTCCATGTTGACCAGTAGGTCTCAAGAGCCCTCTCCAGGCCTTGGGGACAGGTCCCTCAGTCTACCCTGCTTTTTTCCAGTGGGCTGAAAAAGACAGACAGGTTTGCTCATCTGTCTGTGTTGCTGGATTAGGTTGAGAGGACCTGGAACTCACTTCCTTGTCCAGTGATTACAAAAAAAAAAAAAAAAAAAAAAGATACTGGATGGAGAAAAGTTAGTTGGGTCCTTAGTTCATCTGGGTCCTATCAGCATTTAATGAGATACCAGAAAAGCATGCAACTAACTTTTCAGGAAAGTTCCATGTGCAAGTCACAAACTACCCAAATAATTCTTGCATGATTTTCGATGAACATTTGGTGAAATTTTTCCAGGAACAATAAAATTTGTTTCCAAGTGCCGTTTACAAAAATGCTCCATTGATATAATTTTGGTATTAACTATAGTATAATTGCCTAATTAAAACTATCTAAGTAAATTAACCATACCAAATGCCTAGAATACAGTAAATCTGAGATGACTAGATATGAAACATGTTGTTGATATTGCCAATAAAATTAATATGCACACTGAAGGAAACAACACTCAATGAGCCTTAAATTAAGTAATCATTTGAAAGGGTTTTTAATTTTGGTAAGGTTTATATTTCATGGTTAATTTAGCTTAATGTATTATTTTAAACCAGGTTCATGTTCATGCTTGTATGCCCCTACTTGATACAATGTTTATAGTGAGACCACAGTAATAAAAAAAAAATAAAGCCCACAATTTCCCTTTATAATCTGCAAATTAGCAAAGGTGTTCATAAACCCCACCATACAGTGTACAATATTTCAGTAAGCAAGAGATGTACCTGTTACTTCATAGTCAGTAATGAAAAAGGCTGCTAAGGCAATGCTGTCATCAGGGATTTGAGAAATCTTAAGGACTACATCAACTCTTGCATTGATAGAGGCATTAACAACCATAGGGTAAGCGAACAAAGCAATCAGGCATTCTGTGCAAGCAAAGTTTAACAGCATATATCACAGTTTTCAGAAGTGACTAACGCATGTCAGAGGAACACCAGTTTCTAATCCACTTATACAGAGCTTGAAAGTCACTACTCCATCCAAACCTGTACAATGCTACGCAGTTTAAAAAAAAAAAAATCAACCTTTCTGGTCTCCCAAAGGAGAGATGGCAGACACAAGGCAAAGAGCTATCCTCACTCTGAACAGGCAGGTGCATTCAGAGTCTTTGCTTACCTTACTGAATGATCAGGAGCAGAAACCTCAGGAACCAGTGCCAGGGTAGGAAAACAGGATCTGTAGGTTGAAAAATTGCCACAAATTCAGCATAGCAGCTCTGTGAGATTAAAACTTCTGTCAGACCCAGTCATAGACGCATCTTCTCCTTGGGGAGCTACCCAGGTTCTGGCAATAAATACTGGAGGAAAAACCCACGTGATTCCTGCTTAGGGAGGGGAAGGGGAAACAGCTGTTTGTTTTTTTGTGTGTGTGTGTTTAATACATCAGCGCTCACTGTTCTTAAAAACAAAACTTGCCCTCAGGAGAAACTAGTTAATCATATACTAATGGGCTGAGGCTTTATCAGAACCTAATTGACCTAGGGGAAGGGAAATACCCAACTCCAACCACTCTAGCCAAGCTCTCCTCCTAAAGGGAGGAGTAAAAACAAAACAACTGAAAATCAGTTGTAAAGTTCACATAGCACAGATAAAGCTCACTAAAAATGTGTGACCTAATCGCTGGTCTATAGAACACTTAGCTTCCTCTCACACCTCACATTTCTAAAGGACTATTTATTCCTGGTATATTATTTCTGCCTATCAAGAAAATAATTCCAGTGCAAACCAAAGAACAATAACACAATTTGAAAAGACAAACAAGCATCAGAACCAAACGTGCAAGGATGTTGGAATTATTAGACAGGGAATTCAAAACTATGATTAATATGCTAAAGGCTCTCACTGTAGGGTAAATGGATATTGCTCAGGCTTTTGTGCCTTGGGCCTCTACAGAAATCACCTGTGGCCTTGAATGCAGGAGGCACTTTTGCACATGAGCTTGGGGTACACGTGTGTGATGGTGGACACCTGGTATCGGCTTGCGTATGTGTGCACATCGAAGCCCGCAGACAGAACATATGAGCGTAGCAGAGGCCAGAGCACAGTACAGCTGAGGACCGTGTGGCAGATTGTGGCTGAGAGACCCAGAGAGAACACCAGAAACACCAGAGAGCCCAAAAATAGTGAAGATCCACATGGGGGCTGGGAGGCTGAGGGGCCTGTCAGCCTCCTGGCTCCCTCTCATTCCTCCTCCCGCGGCACCTCGTTGCCTCATTATAAATAGCAAAGATAGATCAGTTGATGCCTGAGTAAGCCACTGAGGGCTTTAGACCCTCCTTTGCCTGCTCTCTGCTGCCTACCCCCACTATAGGCTCTTATATATCAAATATAGAACATGCAAGAACAGATGAACAATAAAGTAAAAAAGAAAAACTCTAAAAAAAAAAGAAACTAAACATATACTAGAAGTAAAAATAATAGAAATGAAAACTATTACACACAGCTGAGTAAAGAAATGTTTATTTTATTTTTATTTATTCAAAGTAGCTTAAGGTTCATAACAACATTAAGGGAAAATTATAATTTGCACTCTAGAGTAAATAGAATAAACTAAACTTTATGAACAAATAATGCAAATTTTGTTTTAGCTAGTGTTATTTTAAATGTCACTTTTAAATATAATGTTCTTACTTCACAGTCTATCTTTACAGATAATTACATTCTGGTAACTGTATAACAATACTGATCATGTTCAATGAAATATCATCTCTGTCTTATTTTATTTAGACATTAACAATGATTCCCTCTTTTTTGGTAATAACTTGTATATAGAATAGTCATTCATCATAAGCATCAACTCAATCACTCAAAAACAAAAACTCATTATGAACCCACTACTGTATGTTTTTATAGCATTTTGGCTAAATCAATTAATATGACTTCTATAGTAAATGTTTTTAATGAACTATTTTCCTTTCCCCCCCTTTTGACTAAGATCAAAGGTCATTAATAGTGTCAAGAGACAGACAAGTAATCAATTTTCTCAGTCACCGCTATCTCCTAGAAATAACTGAAGAAAACCACCAATTAAGTAGACTGTAAATTAGAATAAAAAAGGCAAGGGAGTTCATAAATGTTTAGTTCATCTACCCTAATCACCAACATCAATCAAAAGAAAATTTATCTGACAGGTATCTTTGCCAAGTTACTATTTTACTGGACAATTGTAGCTATTTAATTTTTACCAAGGGAGACATATAAGGGACCATAGTCCTGGAGTAAAAAGTGTGATACTGAAGTGTTGGCAGCTTGGTTTTTTCTAAGGCCTTCCTCCCTCCCTGATTTGGAGATGGTCAGCTTCCTCTGGTGTCTTCACAAGGGGGTTGGGGAGTGAGAATGAGGGTGGTGTGTGTGTGTGTGTTCTAATTTCTTCTTATAAGGACACCTGTCATACTGGATAAGGGTTCATGCATATGACCTATTTTACCTTATTTCCTCTAAATTCCCCATCTCAAATATAATCACATTCTGGAGTATTGAGATTAGAACTTCAAAATATAAATTGTGCAGGGCCAAACATTCAGTCTATAACACCACTTAAAACTTTTTTCCTCCAGACTCATCTCCCATAAAAGACTGATTTAGCTAATTAGGTGATGCATTGCATTTGACTTCTCTTATAATTTTTTTTTTATTGTTCAACCAAATCTCAGGCAAATTTGGTGTTTATACCCTGTATTCAATTTATTCTAATTGTGATCTTATTATATTTCAACTATGCAGTCACAATAAATACTTTTATACTTTTTGTCTTCTTTTTACATTTTGTTCCCTTAAGCCAAAATTCTACTTATAACAACACTAACATAAAGACTATCCCTAAGGACAACCACACAGTTGTTTGTGTATAATTCCTTCAAATAAATTTTGTAAACGTATCTTTACCATGTATAATTGCCCCTCTTTAATAAAACAGATTTTCCTCCTTTTCAATAATACTTAGTATGGAAGAATCAGTTGATGGAAATTGGACAAGGAGTGTATAGTACAATTTATAGCAACAAAGCTATAGCAGCCTTTAAGAACTACCATCTGAATAACTCTTGGGGTTTAGGGCTAGATATTCTAAGACAAGGCTAACTCTTTTCAACTGAAAGGGCACTAGTGAGGCAAAGGCAGAATTAGAGAAGAAAGTATTCACTTGTGGTAGAGACTGGGTAATGAAAGCAACACAGCTTTCATTATGATTAATTAAAATTCATGTTTATGATAAGACATGGGACTCAAGAACTATGCAGATTCCAGTTCCTTAAAGAGTTTGCAGATTTTGTTTGTTTTTTTCTTTCTTTCTTTCATTATGAAGATAAGCAGAATGATTCAGGAACAAGTCAGGTCATCAATAACACACTCAAAAATAACCTACTTGGTTAATGATGGAAGTTTCTCAATCTTAAAGAGTTTTTTATCAAAAGAAGCCTACAGAGTTTAGTGGACAAAGTGTAAATGTCTGTCATATTCAAAACATTGTTTGGTGTTTTTGCAAGAAGGTAGAATTATAGAACAGGGAGGTTAGTAGAAAATGCCAAAAATAACAAAGGTAACATTTTAAGACTCATATTTAAGACTCAATAAGCTCTACATATTTCTGACAAAACATAACAGTGCCTGATTATCAACCAATAGGCAATATTCAGGCATTAGATATAATTCATGTTCCTATTTTATCTTCAGAGTTGCCATTTCACACATCTGATTTCAAAAGTCAGAGAACCTATTTTCCAATAACATCATTGTAAACTTTAAAAATACAAGTAAAATATGCTTAGTGAAAATACTGAAAGAAATAGTGAAGGCCTTTTCTAAAATGGTATTTCTTTTTAAAATGAGGATTTATTACAAATTAGGATGCACAAGATATGCTTAATTACTAGTAGTAATCATAAATTTTTCAAAAGCTTTTTAGCATGCTTTGTGGGTAATATGGTAAATTGTTTAAGAATAGTTTGTTTGGGGTAGTTAATTGTTATTACAGCTAAGTAACTGGAAATTCAACCTCATTTTTGCTGAATAGATAATCTTTTTTGAAGGAACCACAACACCACACCTCTGACCCTTTAAAGATTCTTCAGTATTTTCACCAAGCAGGATTATTACTGTAGTGTCATCACTAATTTGATTGATTACACTCTGTAAACCCAAAGTTCTCTTACAAGTCCAATTGTTTTTGACATTATTTTTTCACAGTCCATTATATAGACTGCTAATGATGACAAAACAGTTCATTCTCCCATATGAACAAACACTGTCCTAAGAATATATTCTTATTTTATGTTTGAATAAGTGAAAAATGAACCAGCTCGTTTGTTTATTAGAGAAAAAAATAGAAACTGTTTATTTAAATAGTTCAATAGCTCAGGTATTATATAAAGAGGTATAGAATATAATATACAATAGCTAAATGACCAAACAAAAGTACAAGCAGCCATAATGTATCAAACCAGAGAATATCAGATGGCTAATTGCAATCCGATTGACACTGACTGAAAATATACAGCATATATTAAACCAGTTACAATTATCCAATGAGAGTTTGATGATTAATATATCTATATTTTACCATTAAAAATAAGCCCCATACAAGTAAGATCAACTTTTATTTGCTTCTATATTCCCGTGACCAGAACAGTGCATGAGACTGAGTAAGCATTCAGTAAAAATTAGCTGAAGGCATGAATAAATACATAAATATTTTGCTTATATTTCTGGTGGCCACAGACCCAGATAAAAATCAGAGGCTTACTACTAATGAAACATGAGAGAACATCTGTGTATATTCTCTCTGCTCTTTCCTTTGAATCATCTTTCTAAAATGACTGACTTCCTCATCAACTACTACTCCTGTCAAGGTGGCTCTTCTCCAGATTTCTATTTCTGTCTGATCTATAAACATACTACTCACACATTTTTTTTCTCTTGATGACCCTTCTGCCCAGAATGGCTTCTAACATTGCTGATATCTGGGTGACATGGCACCCTTTGTTATTTCCTTAACACCCTCCCATGCCCAGTCTAGCCCCTTCATTAAGATCAGGTAATTCTTCTAAGTAATATGCTTCCTTTTTTTTTCTGATGACAAAGTCATTTTACAAACCAAATTCTTATTTATTTTACTTTTGAGTGTATATTACATGAACTATGTCAGTATACTTGTGAATTCTAAGATACTAGACAGATATT